TTGTACTGCATCTGTACCGTCTCCTTTAATTGTTTTTACAGCATTGCAACTCTCGGCGCTATATAAATCCTGAATAATAATAATTCAAATATCCCTTTGGGATGGGCTGACAATTTAAATCACTGTACTGTCACCTTGCTGGTATTCCTTATGGAAAGGGGAAAAAAATCGTTTACAGCCCTAATCCAGTAAAAAGTGTGTATTCTGCTTGAACATAGATTACAACAAAGAAAATCAAAAGCGCCAAACGTTGACCAGTGAAGGGTAATTGCAGGCGAGGATTACTAGGGGTGCTGCCCCACTTCAGCCTAGGAAGATGCAACACTATGGGAGAAAACAAAAAGAGAAGGGCGCCCACCCTAGTGTAGATACTTTTTAATAAAATATATATTGAAGTAACCATAAAAACACTCACAAAAGTTAATCAAGATACAAGTGTAATAGGTAAGCCTGAATGACATCTGAAACAAGCTGCACAGAAACCTGTGTAACACAGGACTCCTTACGATGACGCGTTTCCGGGGCCACGCCCCCTTCGTCAGATCTTCATAGAAATTGTGAGTTGCCACTAAAACAGCAACGTTGTGAAAACAAAGGGCACACTTGTTCCGACTACTAAGAGGGCACTTTCTTAAATTTGGAGAGATTTCCTCTTACCTCCTTTTGTGTTGACAGGACAGGAAATTAAGGGAAATGTCACTAATTGGACAGATGGCAAAAAACCTTGCAAGAGTTTCAACTGTTCCTTATGCTAAAGTGTTGCCAAAAATCAATTTTTATTAAAATATATTTAAGCATCTGCCAACTCTCCTAATCAAAAATCGGCCTACAGATACAACCTCAGATACAGACTGCACCAGCTTCCCTGCAGACAGTTCCCCCCTTCTTTTTTGGCTGAAGAAGCCAGCAAAAAGGAAGCATGGACACAAGAATAAGGAGTCCCAAGACCAGAGACCAGTTAGTTGTTACGCTCTATGGCTGAACAATGCCCATAGATGTACATTTTAGAGGGCACTGCAGTTGAAGAGGTGACTGGAAGAGAGACCCTCATTGTCTACCCTGCAGTGGATGTATGCCTAGTCTGCATTTGGGAATGAATTACAGTTTTAATAGTTTAATTAGGAGTGTACGGGAAGGCCACATATCCATTATAAAATAAAAAAGGTACAAATGACATGCTTGATTCCACATCAGTGCCATTTGTCAAAAGACAACTGTACAAAATGCAGGAGTCAAAAAACAAGTTATTTTATACCAAGTCCTCCCCTTGGTTCTGTGTGCAGTTTCCCTGATTTTGTTTCTCATTAAAAGCTTCTCCCGTTCAGTTGTTGGCTCACACTAAATCACTGTGGTGACTTGCCATTATCCAAACTGTTGCTATAAGACGACCCAGTATAGTTGCACATGCAGAGAATACAGAGGCTCTAGATCTGGTAAATGAAATCACAGCAGATCAGACTGAAATGTTTACATGTTGGGCTTCAATCCCCATTTTAAGTAGGTCTACAAAAAATTACATGCGGCCCTGCCAACTGAAAACGTTGGGTAGCTGATGAAGATGTAAAGTGCCCAGAGCACAGTACTCTGAAAAAGCCAGAACTTTCTGGACATCACTAAAGAGTTCATCTAGCTAACACCATGTAAAGGGGCCTGATGGCCATGGCTGGGAGCACTCTATAGAACGCAAAGCTTCCCATAGCCAAGGGAGATAAGAGATGCATCTAAAGTGTGACTGCCCTAAGGCCATGCGGATAAAGAGGCAGACACGGTCTCTCTACTTCACAAGATAGATTAAAGGCCTTCAGCCAAATCTAAGTTTTGTTTGGAAGGTAAAGTAGGCTAATAGAGTGTATATTTATCTTATTTGCAGCACTGTGAAGCTGGCCTGGCAATCTCAACAAATCACTACCTATGTAAAGCCCATTCCAGGTTGAGCTGCACATACCCGGGGGCCCTCTTAGCCCACCTTTCCATTTTCAGCATACGCAGCCAGCTCAGATCTTTTCAACTCCGGGGTAAACTGCGCATATATTTAAAAAATGGCCCAAACACATATTTAACGAATACGGATAAAAAAAAAAAGCATAAGTATTTCCTAAAATTACTTGGCAAGTCCTTAGTAGTTTTCCTATGGAAACAAAGGCAAGCATGATTAACTTTTCAAACCCAGTTTATATACTGTCTGAAATATACGTGTTGGAAGTACATAAAACTGCTAAAATGGGCTTTTTGCTACACACCAATTCTCCGGTGGCATTTAGCTGTGCCTTCTCATCTTACAGTTTTCGACTACTGAAGCTGAGAAAACGATGTCATACTTCTTTTTAACTGATAAATGAATTTCAACTTCATTATCTTAGCAATTTTTCAACAGGTTAATGAATGCAGATTTTATAGATCTCAGCATTGCAATTTCACAGAAGCAGAAGATTTGACAAACTGGATCTCCGCTTCATTATACGTGAAACACGCTAAAAGTCCTGTGCCTATGGACATGCATCCAAAAGACCTTTAAAGAAGGACTCTAAGCAATACTTTTATTGACTCCTGCAGTAGGGTTATCCCCGCACCGCATGGGTTAACTATTTGTTTTTGTCTAGGTGCTTTAAAAAAAAAAAAAAGTTACTCACCTAAACACGGTCACATTGCAGAATGGCTCAGTAGTATTTAGGAAGCTTGCTCTAAAGGTGCCCATACACTGTACGATTCTCGTACGAAAATAGTAAAGTGTATGGAAGGCGTGCGACCTCGCACGTCTTCCGAACAAGCAGGCTTGAAAACCCGCTGAGAATCGTACGATCGGAAGCCCGCCCTTTACTGCGGTCGTCGGAAGCCCGACCCTCAGCGTGACGGGCTTTCGATGATCGCAAATACGATCTGCCCGTCCAAGATGGGCAGATCGTATGAGCTTTCAATAAGCTTACGACCATCACAAGACAAAAGTCTTGCGATGGTCGTAAGGTGTATGGGCATTTTTAAAGGTGCCCATACACTGTGCGATTATCGCGGGAAATCCCGCAATCATACGATGATCGCAAAGTGTATGGCAGGCGCGCAACCGTTTTTTACTGTATGGTTGCACGTCTTTTTTCTAAGGAGCATTTTTGCGAAAACCAGCGGTGGCATGCTCGGGAGACAAATGCCAAACGGGCCGCTGTGTGCACACTGCCCGTTCAGCATTGCGGTCATCGGAAGCCCCGCCCCTCAGGGGGGCGGGCTTGCGATGATTGCAAGTACGATGCGCCTGTCCAAAATGGGCAGATCGTACGTTTTTAAATTACTTTACAACCATCGCAAGACTAAGGTCTTGCGATGGTTGTAAAGTGCATGGCCACATTTAGACTGGTCCTTTCCAGCCTCTCTCCTCCTCTGCAGCAGTTTAGTCATGTAAATCAACACATTCTATAGACAGTTTAAAGACATGATGACACTGAGGAACATTCCAAAGCTGCAGCACAGGAGACAGGCTTCATGAGACCGGATAGGCAGGAAGCCGGCTCAGTGCTTTGGGCAAGTATAACTTTAGCACCTAGACAAAAACGAGCAGTAAACCCTTGCAGTGCAGTGTTAGCACCACTGCAAGGGTGCATATGTTTTGCCTGGAGTTCGTCTTTAATAGGGCATTCCACCACTTTTAGAAAAAAAACTAAATTCCCCTTCACCCAAGAACAATGCCAGATGGTGGCCCACTTCCCTTGGGCTCAAATTACTCCCCTGGTTAATAAACCATTTGCAGTCCAAGTGTACTTGAAGCTATGTACTTTTGTTACAGATGAGTCAACAAATCTCTTAAAATCAAAGATTTAAGCCAAAAAATTACCAACCATTTGAAAAAGGAAAAAAATACTATATCCAATTTAACTACGAAGGCTGAAAGACGAGCTCAGCAAAGTCTCACACCCTCCAACACCTGTGCTTACCTACACTAAATATACCCATTTACATGATGACAATGTTGGCTGGATCAAGGTGCCCAAGACATCTTAGGAGAAAACCACCAGATGGACAGGGTTTCTAATCTATCCATTTCCTTGATACGCCAGCACCAGAACTGCTACCATGCATCTACTACTCCCTACAGCTCAGGCATATGAACACTAGGCCAACTACATTCATATTTATGGTTGTACCGGCAGACATGTGCCAGAAGGCAACTGGATTGAAACTCCATTTTTGACCGGCCTCTGAAATCTTGAGGCACCTTAACAGGTGAACAGTTTGCTGACCAAATATTTTATGATAAAACAATATATCAATGCTTTTATTTATGAACTCTATAAATCAAATATAGACAACCAATATACCTATTCATCATAAGGACCCAAAACAGCTTTAGACTAAAGACATATTTTATTAACTTACATGATGCACTATAAAAAAAAAAAAATATTTGATTACAAACTTCTGCACATAGGATTTAAACCCCAAAAACCTCCCCTTTCTCAAAAAATAAAATTGCACATGAAGAAAAAAAAACAAGGGAGGAAGACATCACCCAGGGCAGGGGCTGGGTGATGTCTTCCTTAAATGAGAGGATGGGGTATGGCAACCAAATGATGGGGGAATGAATCTGCATCTCTCGAAGAAGAAAAAAAAAAAAAAAGAAGAAGATCTCTGCATTACTGTACCTGAAATCAGAGGAGAATTCAACTATAAGTTCCATAAAATTGAGGTTACATGGTAAGCAACTGTCTCCATTCCATGTTCAGATCATGGAAATATTACTAGTTTTATCTAACCTTGTGTACTTGGGATTTGTGTTTTTATATAAAAATAACAAAATCCTAATGTTTTTCTTTCAGCTGTTTCGTTCATAGCTATTGATATTTAAAATTAACCAAGCTACTGACATCATACTGGTAACTTGGTCATGGTGATAATTTTACAGTCTGTATATACTGGGCAATCCATTTGTGTATAATCATTAAAAAAAAAGGGAGATAAAAAAATCAATCACAAATTAACTGCTAATTACTACAAAATATTAAACCAATTCATACCTTCTGCCATTGCTTTTGTGGTGAAGCCTAGGGAAAGAAAATAGTACATTAATTGGCACAAAGCATAAACATGTGCAATAGCATTACAGCTGCAATTTGGCAATGCAGTGTCAAATGAAGAAACTGTGGCAAACATACCATAATTTAGAAATACAAGCCATATGTAATGTTTTGCCAAGGTTTCTTGGGCAAGCTTTCCAAGGTTTCTATTGTGTAAGCTGTCCGACATGTAACACAATCATATATATATTAGCTCTGGTGGGCCAGCTTCACTAAACACTACTGAGGAAGCCATTCTGTTGAAACTGCCATTAACTCCAAACTGTCATTTAAAAAATAAAACATTGACAATGGTATGGTATGGGAGGGTGAACTAGATTCCTAAAATGATCCGTTCATAGTGATTTGACTGACCCATCTCCAGTTTGGTGGTTCAGTCTGCACCTTTAAAACATACCAATATATTTTCAAATTTTCTAATAAATAAAAAAACAAAAAATAAAAAAAAACAACAAGGCCTAAAACGTTTCCAAGGCAGCACTAGGGAAATGCAGGTACCAAATAACTGTGGTAAGTGTTTAAAGCGGAACCACAACCTCCTATTCTTTACAGCCAAGCATGGTGCCATCTTAGCCTCTATATGGATTGCAATTGCCATAGTGCTGCACAGGCAATCAACTATGCCAGTCATTTGAGGGCTTGCAAGTTTTGGTGGAGCGCTGAAATAAGCACACTGGCCATCTTGCCAGTTGGCATGCTGTTTTGGGAGAATATCAAATTTGTTCCTACAGGGCTGCCTTCATTCTAGGTCTAAGTTACAATGAGGTCTTTTCTTTTGCTGAAGTGAAGATTTAGCAGCACCCCTCCTATTCAACTGTCAAATGCCTGGGCTTGAGGTCAGTGGAGGCTTTGGTATTTGAATATGGGGACAGAGCTCAACCTGGCCAGAATCTGCCCTTCAAGTTTTTTACATAATTACTTTTTTTTTTTACAGTTAGGGGCTTTGGGGAAATATTACCCCTGATATTTCCCATTTGAAATAGAAAGATTGAGGACAGTCCTAAATTTCTTTTTCTGCAGCCCCTGTTATGAATGAACAGGAAGCCTCTACACTCATGTAGAGCACTTCCTATTCATTCATAGTTGGGGACACAGTAACTAAATACTATATCGTCAGTTATTTATCGTCAGTTATTTACAAACATCGGAGTGATCACAGCAAGCCAGCTGCAAGGTGCAAGGTTCAAGTATAACTTTTTTTAACTTTATTTTAACACCTAAACGAAAACAAGCATATAACACTTGGTCTGACAGTAGCCCCACTGCAAGGGTTAAGAAAAGTTTTCTCCCGTAGTTCAACATTTTATTTCAATGCACCCTCAGTCTGTCCCTCAGGTTGCACTTTGCAATTGTTCAGAATAGCTTTTATTCAGCTAAGGGCCTGCTCCAATGAAAACTAAAAAAGGTAAACTATTTTCAGGTATGCAAGTTTTTGAATGTTTTTTCATATATTAACCTTGCAGTGGGGATACCCTTGCACTGCACAGTTTAAGTGCTCATTTTGGTCTATAGCGAAAATAAAGATGATACACTAAACCTGATCCTTGGTCCAGCGGCAGCAACAGCTCACCTCTCGCCCCCTCTGCTCTGACTGTGGCATGTCCCCCGGTGTCCTCATACATAAAGGACTTTGATGTGATGAAGTCACGGGTCCTTAGAGCCACTGAAGCTGGGGGAAGAAGAGGCTGTGGGACCAGTCTAGCAGCCAGGTGAGTATATCTTCTGTATTTTTTCCCTAGACCAAAACAAGAACTTAACCATTGCAGCATGGGGGTAGTCCAACTGCAAGGGCCAATTTAAAAGATCTTTACAATATCTGTACAAAAAGCCTGCAAGCTGCCTGGATTTTACTGTTCATTGGATAAAGCTCCCCACAAAATCCAAAATTGAAATGAAAAACAAAAAACAAAAATCCTCAACTGTCATAAAAAGGAAGACAGAGAGAAAAGACAATGTGAGCGGGAGGCTTGATTACCAGCCAGTTGCTATCATGTTAAAATGCAGATGAGAATAATAGCAGTGCCTGATACCACGCCTGGCTAAACTTTGCTGTAATGAATACATTTTTCAAGACTCTTTTTCCAATGTGGAATAAAATGGCAGTGCTCAAGGCTACCTTACCCTGCAAAATGTAAACGATTCATTGTATGAATCTTACAAGATCTATGACCACAAAGGGAGCATTTCAGGGACACCCATCAGGCTTTATGGGCTCCCGGGGTTATGTAAATGCAAGATGGAAACATACACTTTGATGATACCCAAAACACAGGAGACCATTTTTATTCTATGGAAGAAAGGATTAATAATGTGACATGCAAAGTTTTTCTTTTTTTTTTTCTTTTTTAAAAACTTTAAAAGACAACTTTACAACCATCTATAATACCTTTGCATAGCACCAAGAATTGAATGGAAAAGTATATATGTTTGAAATTTGGCTTGGTGTAGATTTGAAAGGCAACTTACTAATAGGATACTTAACCCAAAGATGATCACATGTATTTGTACAATATTTTTTGCTACCACCATAACTCACCACAAATGGTGCCATTTTGAGGTTGGAAACAGCGCACACCACTATAATATGTGGAGAAAGCTTATGTTCCACTGACATGGCTCAGCCCATTTATGTCCAACAGGTACTTGTCTGGCAAATGAATATATTTCTTTGAATGAAACAGTAGAAGAGTTAAAAAAAAATCTTGTGCATCATCCTACAACTACTGTATGGCATCTTTTTGTCAATGACACTGAGGTAAATCTTATGCTACATGCCAATAGGCATGGACGGGTTTGAAAGTGCTCACACCTTTATGGGCTTCTTTATAAAATAAAAATGTACTTTAAACATTGGCATTTTATTATTTTTTCCAAAGCCACATCAAGTCAAATTTCACAAGGAAAATGGCTCAGAAATCCAAAAGCATTTATGTGCACATTTGTGCCATTTCTGCGTGCGTTACAAAAGTCAAAATTTGAAGGTTTGTCAAATATTTTACAGAGGATATACTAGTTGTAAAAAAAAAAGTATAAAGTTACAGTATTTTTCCGTCTATAAGATGCCCCCATGTATAAGACGCCCCCAACTTTTCTTACCCAAAATTCAGAAATCAATATAATGCATCACACATACCTGAGTCAATCACTTTATGCTACGACATTACCGCTCTGGGCACTGGCTACACGCTCTACCCAGCAACAGCTGACGTCAGGTACAAAAGATTGATGATCAGATTACAGAGACAAGATAACAGTTTTCCTCCAATCATAAATCTTTTGTACATGACGTCAGCTGTTGCTGGGGAGAGCGGATTGCAGAGACAAGATAAGTTTTCCTCCACTCTCCCCAGCAACAGCTGAAGTCAGGTACAAAAGATTTATGATTGGAGGAAAACTTATCTTGTCTCTGCAATCCGAAGTTTCACTCGTGAGGCTAGTATGCAGCGGTATCGGCACTTTCTGCAGTTTTCTCTCGGCCCCCGTGTACAAAAAAATACGGTATCCCTTTCCCAGCTAGTCAACTATGAAAAAGCCAAAGCTAGAGAGAACTATAGAATGTAACTAAACAATTACCAAATGGAAATCTAGAAGTCTCATACATTAACAGGGTCAGAGCTTTAAAGCTGAACCCCAGGCTGGAGAAAAAATGTTAACCATGCAGTGGGCCCCCCTCAGCACTGCAATGGTTAAATGCTCATTTTGGTCTATGGTATGATAAAGGCAAATGTGCTCACTTATTTCTGACTCTCCAGCAGCTGGCACTCTACTCTACACACAGTCAGCGTCCTCATGAACACTACAGGACCACTGGGTTAGGCATGGAAGTAGAGTAGCTTTGGGGGACAGATCCTCCACAGAGGAGGAAGTCTGCAGGAGTGAGGAATAGGGTATGCATTTCTCCTTATTCATCTCCTCTAATAGAGGAATTGTCAGTCATTACCGGAGGAGGGTAAACGAAAGAGGTTTGCCACCAGGTGCAAGTATGCTTGTGGATTACAGCAAGTGCACCAGTCCACTTTAGGCATGCAAAGAAAATGCATGCTAGTTTTGTCCTGTTTGTTTAATACAATTTAACATGAAACATGCATATTTTAGACATATTAAATTATTAGGTTTATTAATGCCACAAGAAAAACAAAAAAACGGGCAACAGCTTTCCTATGGTTTATGCATTTGGAAAAGAAATGGAGAAAAAAAAAAAAGAAAATGCATGCTAGTTTTGTCCTGTTTGTTTAATATAATTATTTAACATGAAACATGCATATTTTAGACATATTAAATTATTAGGTTTATTAATGCCACAAGAAAAACAAAAAAACGGGCAACAGCTTTCCTATGGTTTATGCATTTGGAAAAGAAATGGAGAAAAAAAAAAAAGAAAATGCATGCTAGTTTTGTCCTGTTTGTTTAATATAATTATTTAACATGAAACATGCATATTTTAGACATATTAAATTATTAGGTTTATTAATGCCACAAGAAAAAAAACAAAAAAACGGGCAACAGCTTTCCTATGGTTATGCATTTGGAAAAGAAATAAAAAAAAAAAAAAATAGTAGCTTTTAAATAATGGTGTAAAAAAAACTGCATATCCTGGGTAATGAATGTGCAAGCAATTCTAATAATAAAATTCAACACCCAGATATTCAAGGACATTTAGTGTGCACTATCCAGCCTCATTTTCCACAGCTGCTGTAAAATGTTTGTGACAGTTCTAATTTGTGCCACGGTCCCCATGTGTCTTTCCAGTTATGTACCACATTATTTCAATTTCACTCTCTAACTCGAGACAGAAATGGAGATAGGTTAAAAGGGAAAAATATTGCCAAACCTGATAGCTTTTGACAAGATGGCAAGTGTATAATTTGAACCCGTTTTTTCTGCAAGGGAAGTTACATCCATAGCACAAAATTAAATGACAATTTACGGTCTCTTTACCTGTAATGTATTAGTTTTTAAAACGGATA